AGGTAAATGACGCTCCGCAACGTGGTGACGTCATTCGGGGCGACTGGAATCGATAAGGGAATCGTTTGCAAAAATGGCAAACAATTCCAAGGAATTGAAACAGTGGGAACCGGTTCTCAACAAGAACCGGTTTTCGATACCCATCCCTACCAGCGCAGTTGCCAACAATGGCGGCAGCTAGTTAGTTTTAATATTACTCTTATTATTCTTTCTGGGTCACAAAATAAACGTTTAACATATTTTCAGGCGAGAATGTAGCTGTGTAAACCTCAAATATCTGCTCAGTTTATCAAGACGCCACATATTTTCAAAAGCGCTCCGACGTTTTCGGAGACGTCTGTTACCCACAGCTCGATAGCTAGCCGGGGGCAAGCTCACTAGAGCCCGTGAGAACACCGGACTCCCGGCAAATCGTTTTCAAACCCACCGCCGTCTTTCGCTACTCAGGTTAAACATATATAAGTCACTTAGATAACTTAAAAATGTTATTGTTTGGCTTTTTTTAGTATTTTATTTGTTCCTGAGTAAATCGGTTTGGCTGAGATTAAAGTTATAGTTTTTACACAGCTGAATAAACGTCAAGCAGACAGCTGATTATCAGAAGTGTGAGATGCTCGAGAATATACTCCGGTGTCCTGTTATATTTTAGATAGCAAGGAGTTTATTAAACTTCACCGAAACAATCTGCAAATTTCATTAAAATTTAATAAACTACCATCTTGTCTTTATTTTTAGTTAGCACAAACACTTCAAGCTGTAAGCTAATGATAGTTATATAAGAGCAGATGCTGCTGGTGCAATAAGCTGTACATCGTATGTCCAATGGATGCATGATCTGATTAGTCGAGTAATCGCAAAAATAATCGGCGACTAGTCAACTATCAAAATAATCGTTTGTGGCAGCCCTAATTGCAACACTGTAATTTATGCAGGCAATGACCCTGAACTGGGACTGACAATGGCATAACAACATAGGTCTGTGCTCTCTGAGTTGTGGCTAACTAAGAACAGTACATTTCCATTCAAGCCGTCCTGATACATTAACCATCAAGGATCTGGAACTCGCAGAGCTAAAACACTAGATAAACTTGAATGCTACAAAATCCAATCCCTGAGGAGCCCCACCATCCTCCAATCTACTTCACTCAGCTTTGAAACAATCAGACACTGGTCCATTTTTCTCTGTATAACTAACTGTGTTTGACTTCTTTATCATTTTCCTTAAAACTCTGGCCTCCTTCATTGCTTATTGAGTTGACAGTCACGTGATTAGTCAGCTGATTGGATGTGTGGTTCTGCCATAAGCGAGAGTAGCAAAGGAGAGTAACAAACAAACAAACAAAAAAAAAGCCCACAGCATCATTATCAGATGGAGTGTCTGCCCCACACTCCAGGGTCCTAAAGCCAAGTGATTTGGTAATTACACAGCATTTATTAGCTCATCTTACATTTCACTAAGTAACTACTTTTCACATTTAAATGTTCTAACATCATATTTATGCAAAGCAATAGCGGGTAGAACAAGCAAATACTGTTTGTTTTTTTTAAATATAGGGAAAGTGCAGTAAATAGCAGACAATACCTGAACTCTGCAGATCTAATCAGCATACACTGTCTGCAAAATCCTATTAACACTTTAATTCAATCAAGATCTTCTGGTCTGTAGGTCCTCAATCTAATTTAGGTACTTTGTGACCTTTTCTTGTTCCATTTGCTTAAATTTAAGTGTCATTTTTTCTCATGATGAATATGATGAAATAGGGAAAAGTATCTTCTATAAGCTTATTGTGCAAGTTTTGTTTTTAAGCCTGATTGATGATTTTACAAGCCTTAAGCAAGTAATTATACAGACAACATACAAAAACATAAAACTGCCTTTTAAAGGTTAACAGTTGACTATTTAAAAAAAGATAACAAATTAACTATTATTAAATGTTATTAAGTCAATATTTTGATTTCTTTTCAACTGTGTTTCTCACATGGGAATACAAAATAAAAGACAAATTCATATTCGTGTTTACTTCCAAAGTGTCAGTAAAGCCCGGAAAGTAAAGCTATAAAAGCAACAAAATTAATTTTTCTGATGTGGTTTTCTTTCAGTTCCTCAAGGTTCGGCAGAGAGCAATGTTTTAATAATGACTAAAAGAGTTCAAGGTTTCATGGGCCTTTTTATGTTTTTTTTAAAACTGCTTCTTTCTTTTCACAGAAACCAGAGTCAAATATTGACTTTAGTATCGCCTCCAATATAAATCACAAAAGAGGAAATGCCTGTCACATACGAGTAGGAGGAAGCAGCATTTATTACCAACAATTTCAGTCACATCAAGTGAACTCTGCAAATTATTACAACATATTGCAGGCTTCAAATGACACCATTCCCCCTCTGCAGTCAAACCAGTTCTGAGATAATACTGTTTAAACACAGCAAATGTGCTTTAGTCCTACGCAGTGGAAGAGGCTTTCTGTCACACACATATACACACTTCACACAAATCATCAAAAAAAATAATAATTCAGTGACACCAACATGTGGGTTCTGGATGGTAATTAAATACATCAAAGACACCTAACCTTCCCTGCGAACAATTCCTGTCAAAAATATTCAATGTTTTTTATTATTATTATTATTATTATTATTATTATTATTATTATTATTATTATTATTATTATTATTATTATTATTATTATTATTATTTTAACAGCAAATTAATTTCTCGTGATATCAGTTAAATACAAATTTACTTAAGGATACAGCTGCTCTTTTTTTAAATACTGTATATTTATATAAGGGGGGGAAAAACAAAACCAGCCATCTGCCCATCTCTTGACACTCCAAAAGCCTCGCTCTCATACCTAATCCCACGGCTTCCTACTGAAATGAAGGTGAAGAATACAAATGTAAGCCTCAAGAATTTATTTTTTTCCCCCTCCCACTGAAAACAGTGGTTGGAGACAGCAGCCTTAACAAAATGATTTTTATTGTGACCACGTGCAATCAACTTGCAATTTTTTTCCTTTGAAATAGAAGATCGGGGCCAGTTTGCAACCATTGACAGTCAGATGCCGTCTTCAAAGAAAAGCTTTGGTGCATCAAGACGGTGAAAAAAAACAAAAACAACCAAGCAAACAAACAGCAATAAGACAAAATCATTCTGCCATCTCATCTCCATACAGAAATTCAAATAACTACCTACATTCAGAGTCCAGCCAAAACTGTGTATATTTAAAACAGAAATTCTTCCATAAATTGTGACATACAGTAGTTGCTGCATGAAGTCAACTCAACTGCAAATTGGCATTGGTGCTCTGGAACCTTTTATATAGGAATATAACCAGAATACAACCAGCTGGCGGCCAGCTGAGTCGAGTGCACTACTGTAAAGAGTCTTTTCACACACGAGTTGCAAACCTTTGCGAATCTGTCATTGCGGTTACAGTCGGTCTGAGCTGGACTGCAACTGTTTAAAGACAGAATCACTCCCAACAAGTGACCTGTGCAATTGACCAGAGGTTAAGGGTATTTGCACACAGCCTTGGGGAAACAAACTGGTTGTCCCAGCTGCTTTCAATTGGTCACTGAATGTAAAAATTGCCTAGCAGCCATTGAGTTTTCCTAGGTGTAAAAGAGATGTCACCCAGTTTTAACCTGGTGGTGACTGAATCATAACCACCGAGTGAACGGGAAAGCGCAAAAGGAAGTAAAAATAAAGTACAAAAGCAGGACAAAAATCGCAAGCTTCCATGGACAACCTCAATAAAAACGCTGATAAACATACGACTATTTTCTGTTGATGACCAATATCGCCACATCTTCCAAAGGGCACCTTGAATAGCCTGGCAATGCAATATCCTGCAATGCTACTGCATTTCCTGAGAAAAAAGGCAGTATGTTTCTGGATATAAAATTTAAGGTTTGCACAGGTATCATAATTGGTATTATTGTAATTACAAATAATTTGTAATTTAAAAAAAAAAAATGTCTACAGTTGAGAAGTTTGTAAAAGCACATCAACATAATTAAGCCGGAAGATCCTCTCAAACACATTCTAAAATAATGACAAAGGACTGTTTAACAAAGAGATTCATATCAAAATCTTATACACCGTTTTAGCCTGTTGATTAAAGACCTTATGTTATACACTAAATGCATAAATTGAAGATTTGGAAACTAAAAACTTAGCAGAGGATTGGAATTCAGCCTGTACTAAAGCTCATACCCAGATAAGTGTATATAATTGGTCAATACTGGTGAACATATGTAACTCTAGCAAATTCACTATACATACATACTGAATCCACAGATGACTGAGGAAGACTGGGTCAGTATTTATGGCATTAAGATTAAAACATTTGTGAAGCTGTCAGAATGACTTTTGAGGAAATGTTACACACTGGATAGGCAAATGATCTCAAACCTTCCACTAAGAAATTACATATACAGAGAAAAAAGAAAAATCATTTGAAAAAGTCTAAAAGCCCCTTAACTTCTGGAGCTTACCACAAGTCAATAAGCAGGATCAGTTTGTTCTCATACTAGCTCTTTTATTTTCTTTATGCTTTTTGATCTTTTTCTTTCACAATTAACTTAAAGTTCTCCAAAAAAAAAAAAGTTATAAATAACAGACAAGTGGGAGTCAAACTGGTGGTTTTTTCTGATATAGACACTGAAGTCAGTCTTTAATAAACCAGCCTAATACTTGCCTTCAGAGCATCACCACTGTCATGAGACTGAGAATGTGAGAAAATTCAGAGCCCGGATAATGAGCAGCCTGGATGATGTAGCCGAGCGCAACAACATGCTAACACAATTCAACTTGTAGAAAAGGGTGTGATCGCATTCCACAGATGCAGCGACTACATTTCCTTGTTCAAAACTGACTTTTTTTAAAATACATTTTTCCTTTCTGCACACAAACCCTGCAGCCTATCACATGCCCACAAAAAGCCAGACAGCTGCTCCAAAATGTTGCCAAACTTCTGTGAAAGTCACAACTGCTTACCTCTCAGCAGCTCCTCAGCTGATTCAATGGTGTAAGATCCTGAGGGGAGATACAAGGAGTTCAGAGCAGCTGAACAGCAGCCCTGCATTTACAACCACTGACTTACTGGCTGGCTGGCTGGCTGGCTGGCTAGGAGGCTGGATCACTGGATGACCTGGTGAATGACTGTAATACAGCTGCAGGCAGCAGAGCAGAAAGCCACTCCCTTCACTAAGCAGCTGACTGGCTGCAGGGACATAGGGAGTAGTTTATTGGTTCTGTCTTAATGTGTTTAGTGTTAAATTGCAGACCAGATTTCTGCTTCTGTAACTGATGGACCAACTAACTAAACCACCTGACAGAGAGACCAACCGAATGAATGACTTACAGAAACTGACAAAAATCTCCCAACTGTAAATGTAAGCCTGATCAACTGACTGGTTTCCTGCTGAGAATCTGGTGCAGTTTTTGAACTTTCCCTTGTTTTTCTTGCTACTTTCTGTGCCTCAGACTCTCCCAGTTTCTCTGTGTAATGAGAGGGTGGGGCTAAATAAGATAGCTCAGGAGACAGACGGAAACACACACACACACACACACACACACACCTTATCAGATTAAGTCTATTTTATTTAAGCAGTCTGAATCGAAACAACTGCAATCCCTGGGCACTTTCCATTGTAAGATAAACGACTGCATGTATCGTTATTATGGAAAAGAACAAGAGCAGAGCAGCCTCAGGTCAGGGAAACCCTGGTGTGTGTGTGTGTGTGTGTGGGGGGGGGGGGGGGGGGGGGTTACTGTGGCAAAGCAGGAAGCAGGTAAAAGTACATACAAACTATACTGGAATGGAGGAAATGCATTCTTTATTTTCTCTCTCCTCTTTAAAACTCACCCAACACCTGAATGAAACAACATTCTCCACTTTGCATGAGAGACAGCAGCTTCTGAATAGATGTGGACTTCCTCATTTCTCTGAGTCCCAGTCACACAGGCTTAGGGATCTCTCAGCAACCATGAGAGAAGCAGATGGAAAACGCATACAGAAACATTGGATACAACCTGGTCTTACACTGTGCATTCTTTTTCCTATCTAGGAACACAACCAATGCATCACAGTAGCTTCCTCCATTTCCTCCTTGTAATTGTGAACACTTACATTTTAACATGACAAACTGATTCTATTAATATCAAGCTATAAATGTTGGTCTGAACCTTTTCTGGCATTCCACTGACCTCAGAGCTTGGCTGCTTTCTAAAAAAGGATAAAAGGATTTGTTCTCTCTAAGGAAGATGGTCATTCATCCATCCCCAGCGATACAACGCAATGACTTTTTTGGGTGCTGCATGTCCATGGATAAAGCCTTGTCATTTCTTTGTGTGCACCTTATTTTATGACTCAAAGAAAAAAAAAAAAAAAAAAAAGCTCTCAAAATAAACAAGGATTATTTTTGAACTGTTAATCAAGCACAACTGACCCACTTTAATTTTACTGCCATCACAAACATTACCAAAAAAAAAAACAAAAACAAAAAAAACCAACAAAAAAACAAAAAACAAAACAAAACAAAAAAAAACCTGTACACTAACAGATGCAGAAAATTATAAAAGATCCGTGGACCAGGGCACAAAAACCCTTCTGCTTAACAACCTTTTGGTTTCCAGTTTGCGTGGGAAATACCTTCATTCACATTTTACCCTTCATCATCCAAATGTTCATATAGAAAAACAGACCATCAAGAAAAGAAACAGAACTATAAGAGACATGTTTTTCTAAATTTTCATTAAAAATAAAATAAATGAAATACAATTCAGTCAATAACAGCATCACAACTGTAAGAAAGAAATTAACAGCAGGATCTTCAGCCGAATCCACTGAAGCTTTGATGTACAGAAAGTGTGGATAACTGAGTAACCTTCTTAAAATTCCCTTTTTAGAATAAAAACAGCAATATGCTGTCATTTGTACCTTCTCTGCACCTGATGACAAACTTTAAACATTTTTGACCAAAGAGACTGAGCGATAAAGGCTGAACAGAGAAAATGTGATCTTCTTGGCTCTGAGCTGGTCTAGTGTTTTCTTGTGTCCAGACCCTGAGGAGTCATGCAGCTCATGTTGGTGACCTTTAGGCGACATTAAAGGCCAGCTACCCACAACACTGACAGTTACCATGACAAAACAAGATCTATCATAGACTCTGGGAGGGAACACAGAGCGTGGGACAGTGCTGTGTTGCATTAAACCATTAAACTCTGGTTTTAATGTTCCACTTGTTATACAGGGTGGCCCATTTAATAGATACACCGTAATAACATGGGAATGGTTGGTGATATTAAAGTCCTGTTTGTGGCACATTAGCATATGTGAGGGGGCAAACTCCTCAAGATGGGTGGTGACCATGGTGGCCATTTAGAAGTCGGCCATCTTGGATACAACTTTTGTTTTTTCAATAGGAAGAGGGCCATGTGACACATCAAACTTATTGGTAATGTCACAAGAAAAACAATGGTGTGCTTGGTTTCAACGTAACTTTATTCTTTCATGAGTTATTTACAAGTTTCTCTTTGTTCACAGCCATTGACATGTCGAAGAGGTTAACACGTGAGGAGCGGATCGAAATTGTGTTGATATCTGGTGAACGCAGTAACCGGGTCATTGCAGCAGATTTCAATGCAAGACACCCTACGAGACCACCCATCTCCCATGCTACAGTTAGCAAACTGCTTGCTAAGTTTCGTGAAACTGGTTCAGTGTTGGATTTGCCAAAATGTGGACGCAAGAAAACTGTCACTAATGAAGAAACATCAGTGGCTGTCTAGCTTCATTCAGCAAGAGCCCACAGCGTAGCAAGAACCCACAGCGTAGCACTCGCCGCATGTCACTACTCACAAATGGTACCCTTACAAACTCCAGCGAGGATGACCCAGATCGGCGCACAGAATTTGCAGAATGGGCAAAACAAAAATTGGAACAGGACCCTCAGTTCACGCAGAAGATTTTGTTCAGTGATGAGGCAAACTTTTATGTGAATGGTGAAGTTAACAAACAAAACCACCACTATTGGTCTGACACTAACCCACATTGGATGGATCCCTCCAAGACTGTTGGAACAACAAAAGTGATGGTTTGGTGTGGTATATGGGGTACAACGATAGTGGGTCCATTCTTCATCAATGGAAACCTCAAGGCCACTGGATATTTGAAATTGCTACATGATGATGTGTTTCCCTCTTTATGCACTGAAGCTGGCACGTTCCCTGAGTTTTTCCAGCAAGATGGTGCACCACCACATTATGGGTGCCAGGTCCGAGCATTCCTAGATGAACAGTTTCCTGGAAAGTGGATTGGTCGTCGTGGGCCAGTTGAATGGCCCCCAAGGTCTCCCGATCTGACCCCCTTAGACTTTTATCTTTGGGGTCATCTGAAGGCAATTGTCTATGGTGTGAAGATACGAGATGTGCAGCACCTGAAACTACGGATACTGGATGCCTGTGCTGGCATTTCTCCTGCGGTGTTGCTATCAGTGTGTGAAGAGTGGGAGAAGAGGGTTGCATTGACAATCCAACACAATGGGCAGCACATTGAACACATTTTATAAGTGGTCAGAAACTTGTAAATAACTCATGAAAGAATAAAGTTACGTTGAAACCAAGCACACCATTGTTTTTCTTGTGACATTACCAATAAGTTTGATGTGTCACATGGCCCTCTTCCTATTGAAAAAACAAAAGTTGTATCCAAGATGGCCGACTTCTAAATGGCCACCATGGTCACCACCCATCTTAGGAGTTTGCCACCTGGCTTTAATGTCAGACAATATTTTCACGACCGGCCTTTAAGGTGTTGCGGATAAATACAACAAAATAAAATGATACGACCAAGACAAAAACTGTGGTATTTTGTAAATATAATAATAAACAGAATTCACTGTGTAATTGTGTAACTTTATTAGCAGCGTCCTCCTGAAATGCACCAACAACATTGAGAGTAACATCCTCCTCTCTGCCCCTTAATGCTCTCTGGTCCTATGGTAACGTGTAAATATTTCTTTCAAAATAAGACACACAACTACAACACGGGAAAAGACCCAGGGAAACCGAGTTAATGATATTTAACTATTGGTTAGACCATACACACACACACACACACACACACACACACACACACACACACACACACACACAAAAAAAAAAAAGACAAACAACAACAACCCTATTGCCATACACAAACATTCAGGGGTGTTCAGAAGGGATGCTCATTTGCAAAGGTGGCACAATTTTCGTTTTACATCTATTGTTCAACTAAGCCTAGAATACATGATGGTTATTCAGCATCAAAATATTTGCTGGGCATTTACACACTTTTGGTTTGCAGGCTGACTCATCTTTGTCTCATCTGCCCACAATACTTCAAGAAGTTTCTTTTTTTTGACAAATTACACCAAGGACAGTCTACTGTTATTGTGAAATTCTGTGCTTCACTTTCATAGTAAACTAATTCATCTCCACAACAACTGAGCAGACTCCATCTACAGAGGAAGGCCATGACTTCTGGCAAAAAGCTTCAGAGACCCAGCAAGCATCTACAGCGATGCAGATGCTGTACCGCTGTGTTTTGATAAAAACAGAGCTTAGTGTGAAGCATTTCCAGCATCTTCTATTCTAAACTGTCAGTAGTGACTAAAAGAGGGTTGCACATACAAGATGCTACATATCTCAGAATGCTTTAGTGTCTCCCTGGAAGTCCAAGGAGAGGGGGTTCCACACATCTCTGTGTGCCCCATGAAAATGGTGAAAATGATGCACAGATGAATGCATGGATGGATTTTGTATTATTTAATATAAAAGGTAGATGCTGCCTCCCCCCTCCCCTCCAACTGGCAGAACAATGGCCTTATTATCAATAGCCTGCTTTGCATAAAAGCATTTTTTTTTTTCATATTTCATGCTGATATGAGTGCTGTATGAACAGTGACTAACAATTACATTACAAGGCACTCAAAAAGTAGTCTCACTCATATTGGAAGTCAATATGGCAGAAGTAGCGGGGGTGACATCACTTTATGTCATGTATAGTTCAGCCTTTTTATTCTTCTCCACATGATTTGTTTAATAAGAAAATGCACTGAAGCCGGACTGACACATAAAAGGCCACTGCACCAAACAATAGAGCCACTGAGACAAACTCTCACATCACTGAATCAGACTACTGGAGCACCAGTTTTACTTAATTCTGATTCTAAAGCTCAGAGTCCGATATATTGGTTGAGAGATGCAGAGTCTTTTTAACAGAGCATAATGTGGCAAGAAGATCCTGGGTTTGAATCCAAACTGGGCTAGGGGCTTCTATTCTCTATGAGCCTGTGTGGGTTCTCTACAGATACCCCAGCTTCTTCCCAGGCAATTGGTTATTCTAATTTGGTCGTACGTGTGAATGCGAGTATGGCGGTTTGCCTGTCCCTATGCGTTAGATTGGCGTCAAAGTATAGCCATCTATAGCCAAATATAGCAGTTGTGGTCAGTGCGTTTTACTGGATTTTTAGATCTTTACAATTGAATGTTGTTAGAAATAATGTTCAAAAAGAGACTAATAGAAAAATACTGTAGCATACTATAAATATGTAGAGCAGCTTTTTGTTTATATTTAATGTATAAAATGGATTAATGCCTACAGTATTAAAGAAAAATGCATTTATCAAGAATGATAAATTACTTTACAGAAT